TGAACTCTTCCTGCAAAGAATCTGCTACTCTGGAATTCTTGTGTCACTGAAAACCATGCAGTTTTTAATTAGACTGGGACACGCCTAATTCAGGAAATGTTTTTTCCTCAACGTGCACTTACCAGCCTAATCACAGATGGTCTTAAATCAGATCTTCTTTCAGGTCATGTTTGTTGCCTTTTTTTTCTTTTTTCCTTTCTTTCTTCTCTTCTCTTTCCTTCTTTCCTTCCTTCATTTTGTCTTTCCTTCCTTCCATCCTTCTTTCCTTCCTTTCTTCTTTCTCTCTTTTTTTTCTTTCCTATCCTACCTTTAGACATGATGCCTCCAAGACTTGAATTTGCTTTGGCAAATATAACTTTCATAGTGAGTGGGATAGCTTAGTGACTAGGGAGTAAGTTGGCCAAATTTACTTATTAGTCAGAATAAATGTTATAGTTCTGAGAAATTTGAAATAATTGAACCTCATATAAGCAATTCTCTTTGCTGTTTTTTAAAGAACTGTCCATTTTAATACTTATATTTCCCTATTATTTTCTCTCCTGACCTGATGACAGAAAAAATAAAGACAGGAGGAAAGGAAGGAATGAACATCAACTGTTTAAGTATAGTCTTATACTAGATGATTTTATATACCTAATTCTTTACAATTTATTATTTACAATTAACTTTAAACTTAGTTAAGTGATTTACTCAGAATCACATAGCTGGTAAGAGACAGTACTGAGATTCTAAACCAACTTTAAACAAATCCAATACCCAAGCCACTTCTGCTCTCCCATTGCTACTCACCCTTTTCAGCAGGGAGATGTGAGGTCTTCAGAGAGACTGTCACTAGGGCTGGTAAATGCACGAGTGGAGGATTGAGCCTCCCTTGGCCCTATTCAACCAGAGCAGCTACACTTAAATCTACTGCATTTATCGGGACTCCACATAGAATTTTGTTTTTAAAAAAAATTACATTGCTAGCAAAAAGTTTGAAAGTTACTATGATACACTACGCTGCAACTTTTGGAACTATATCCCCAAACCATCATAGAATTTAGTTTCCAAGGTTAGTAATCAGGAAGGCGGAAAACCAAGCTGGTCGATTGGAAATTTGGTCATTCTGAGATGCAGCAAAATGTCATAAATTCCCAGATTCCGAGGCCTGAGTTGTGACAACAAACTAATTAGTTTTTTAAAAATCTAGGTATGAATTACTCAAGTAATAGAAAATCAATATATGTACCAAAGGATGAAGATTAAAGTCATTCTTTCAATGTAAATTAGCCATGACAGGATGCGCCTTTGTCAACGGGTTTATCGTAGAGTGTGGTGAAGCATGAGGTACACTCACCATGTGTCACAGTGTAGAAATAAAAACCCCTCTCTACCTCCTGTCTGCCCCATCAAATATGTGTAACATTAGTCATAGGATTAAAACTTCTTTTATTCAGAGATAATAGAGAGCTATATTAAAAGAAAAATTGGACTTAACAAAAAGAGAACAGGCCAAGTGACATGGGAAAAGCCAATGAATACCTTTAAACCAGTGTTTTTAAATTGTATGTTGTGCCTATCGGTTGTAAACAACATTAAAAAATGAAGTGGAACAGAGTAGATATTTATTTTATGAAAACCTTTTCTCGGTCATAGGCGCATGAGAGAGAGAGACAGACAAACTAAGTTTCTATGTTGTATGTATTTCTTTGGGTTACTGACAAAAAGGCTTGAACGCCATTATTTTCAAAGATTCTCTTTGTATGTTCTCATATATGTGAAATAGAGGATAATAGCCAGTTCCTATGTACTTCATAAAGTTAGTGTAAATATCAAATAAGATTATGTATGTTAGGTTTTTCAGGAAACTTCATAAAGTTCTTTATAGATTTAAAGTGCTGCCAAAAGTAAAGATAAGTCATTTGTTTTACCAAAAAAAAAAAAAAATACCATTATTTTCTGTGGCCCATATTCACATAAATCTCAGGTAGAGTAGTATGTTTGAAGTCAGACTATTACTTGCAATTCCTAAACAATTTAAAGTTAATTTTATATTTTCTTTTTGTTACATCACAATAGATACGTATTTGACATTTTCTTTCTATTATTACTGTGATATACTTAGATGAAAATAATTGAGTTAATAAAATAATATTTTAGTTATAGCTTCTGTAAGAGTACTTTAAAAGAGTGAAATTGTGGGGGTTCGTGTTTCAGTTATTATAATAAATTGGCTTATTTCTACTTCTGTTTTAACTTTCATCTACATTAGTTTTCCAAATTATCAACTACTTTTCAAATAGCTGTACTTATACAAAGACCTTACACTGCCAATATCATCCTAAAGCAAATGCTTTCAGCTCTTTTCATAACCTGCCTTCCCTCCCCCTTCAAACAGACAGGCCAGCAGAAAAACAAACATTCCTCTTCTCAACCTATCTGCCTATTTCAATGATTTTACTATTAAAATTCTTTAGCTAAAAATATTGTAGTTTTATGTTACCCCCCTGTATTAATAACTCCTAAAGCCAATTTGTTGATAAGCTTGTTTTTTTTTGTTTGAAATATCCTTCATAATAACTATCAATTCTCTTTAACACCACCCCAGCCCCCAACCTAATCACCTCATTGCCAAAAGATCTGAAAAGGCTTCTTTTTCTCTCTCTATTCTATTTGGGTTTACAAAAATTTCTTAAAATATTTTTGTACAAAACATCATTTTAGTAATATATGATATGATAACTGTAATTGATTAACACTGTTGGATGATATATGGGCAAGTTGTTAAGAGAATACAACCTAAGAGTCTTCATCACAAGGAGTATTTTTTTTCTTATTGTATCTATTTGAGACGATGGATATTAGCTACTTCTAATCATTTCACAATGTATGTAAATCAAACCATCATACTGTATGCCTTCAACTTATACAGTGATGTATGTCAATTATTTCTCACTAAAACTGGAAAAAAGAAAAAAACCTTATTTTATTTTTTGCATAGGACTCGCAAAAACTATATGGCTTATATGTTAATTTCAGAATATCCTCTAGCTATCAATGTCTTCTCTAATATAAATTCAATACACCCCCATTCATTGATTCATTTATCCAATTTTTTTTTTTTGGTGAAAGGTGAAAGATTTATTTGATCTGAAAAGAAACTGGAGAATTCAAACATTTTAAATTTCCATTTTTGCTAGGTACCTTTTTAGGTACTGTGAATATAATTAAGTTGAACATAACAGTCTCCACTATTTAGAAGCATATACCTTAATGGCAAAGATGGGCAAACAAATACATAAACACAACGTTTTATAACAAAGAAATAGTATGCTATGAGGTTGAAGAAAAGGTAGCAACCACCAGATCTAATTTCCTGCTAGTCCCAGCTCTCAGTATTTCACTTAAGCCAAATGAGACTCCAGTGAAAATTAATCACATTTTTCAACCTTTGCTGAAAAATATATGTGATCCTTGACTTATTTTTTTCCATACGAATACCATTCACCTTTAAAAACTCAGATTATCCTACCTTTACCCTAAAACCTTCCTTCACCATTTCAACTCATACTCATCTCTTCCTCTTCTTACATTTAAAAAGTATATAGTTTTATTAATTTTATATAAGTTTTATCTCCACAACTGAATTATATATTCTTTGAGGGCTATTTCTTTGTTTCATCAGTACCAGGCTCTGTGTTAGGAATTTAATTTGTGTTCATCTTGTCTTTTCTAAGAAAATCACTCAATAAGCAGCACTCATACTTTAAAGAGACAAAATGGAAAATTTCAGGACATAAGCCTTAGCTTAATAACTCATTTCAAGTGATATATTTGCTAAACCTATTCTTGTCTATCAGTCACTGTTCATTTATTAAAACATCAATTTACGAGAATAATTATAATATATTTTTCTCTAGGGAAATCAAAGCATTTTGTTTTCCTCATTTCTCCTGTCAGAAAACACACTAATTAAATTTATCTAATATCCAAAAAAAAAAATTAGTTAAGTGAGGAATTAGTAGGAAAATTTAGTTATCCAGCTTTCTAGTGTCTTGTACTCTTTATTGAGTCCTGTGGCATTTCTTTCATTTTTAACCACATGGCCAGTTTAAAAAGTCTAGATAAATTTCCTTTTGTAGTGGCAAAGTTTTAAAGGATCCTGGTTAACTCTGACTTTACTTCTTGACACATCTTTGTACTCTGGGTTCACCATACAGTACATTTAAAAGCATAGAAAGAACTTGTTCATCTGTTATTAAAAGATCTTCCTATTTGCAGGAATGTGTCATTTTATTCAGAGATCTGACAGTTGAAAAAGGCAGATTCTGCAGGTCAATTAACAAGGTGGCCTCTGTTGAAAACTATCTGGAGAGATATTGCCTTATGTAGCAGATGACCTGTGCTTATACCAACAGTCTGAGTTTTGCTAAGGGCCTGTTACAGTTTAACTTATCTCCAGATAAATTTGAGTCAATGTGAGGAAAATAGTCGAATTTCCAAAAGTCCCAGATTTCCCACTTTTCCTCCATATTCAATCCCACTCAGCTGTAAACTTCAGAATAATATACTAATTAAGACTAATTCTCTCTAAACTGCAATGACAGAATTCTTAACGTTTCCACTTGAGAAATCCCATGGGAACTATGCAAATTTTATAGTTCTTAAAGAGTCTATCAATTTACCTTGCCAACCAGAGCAAAAAGAAAAATAGATAAAAGATTAAGATGGGGACGAGGTCAAATTTGAGAATAGCTACATTTTGGGAGAGTATTTACTATGTACCAGAAATTCTACTAGACTCTTTAATATCTTAGTAATTTAATCATCACAGAAGCTGCATAAAGTAGGCATTAGCTCCGTTTTATAAACTGAAGCCTGGAAAAGTCAAGAAAATATGCCCAAGGTAACAGAGCCCAAGCTCTTAAAGATAATACAATACTGCCTTTGACATAAAATAATATAATGCAATACTCAAGTTTAGATAGGAAATTTGTGATTGCCATAGCCTAACAAATTACCTGTGGTCCAGCAAAGAGGCTACTGAGGAGCCAGGCCAAGCCAATATTGGACTGACTGAGCTTGTTGCTTTTCACAGCGAGGGGCCTCGTGATGGCCAGGGAACGGTCCAGGCTGATTACTACCATCATGAAGGCTGGGGCATACATGGAGAAAAGCTTCAGATAGCTGAGGACTTTACAGAGGAGCTCTCCAGCATACCATTGGACTGTGATGTTCCACATTCCATCCAGTGGCATGACAATCAGAGTCTCCAGCAGGTTGGCTAAGGTCAGATGTTTTAAAAGTACCTTCATTCTTGAGAGCTTTTTCCCTTTCTCTTTCTTCTGAGTCCACTTCTGAAGTTTCAACAAGAAAGAAGCATTGAAAGTCGTGGAGAGTAGAAAAAGGAAGAAAGTAACTGTCACTCGAATCTTTCCAGATATCGTCAGAGTGGGGAGGTTGTCCTGAACCAGCAGGTTGCTGCTGTTGACGGCTGAGCAGTGATTTTGATTCTGTTCAGAAGAGGCACTGTTTGCCATACTTCCTGACTGTTAGAGCTTCGAGATTTGCGTTTCTGGCACTTCTGGTGTTTTGTTGTTTTGTTGAACCCAAAGTTCCATTTTATTTTGGTCTTCTTTAGATGGAAACGTCACAGGTTTAGATTTATGTCCGATTTTGTCCCTGAGATACTTTATATTTAATGTGAAAGATCAAGGTGAACTTGTTTTGTGGGCTTATAATCCAACAGAGAGCTAAAACAGAGCATGCCAAGCACATTCTGAGGGCCAAATGTAACTGTAGTACCTCAGCAGATGGCCTGGTTTTCACAATATTTTTCCTGAGGGAAGAAGGACACTTGATGCTTAATTTTGAATTTATAATTCACGCAGGATATTATTTAAATAACTTTAATAAAGAGATTTTCTAAAAACCAGTGTTAGCGTTCTGTCCAACAGATGCAAATGAAAATGAAGAAAAAAGAGTAAGAACAATTTGGTCCATTTAGAATCTGTTGTTTTAAGAAATTAATACATTTCTCAAAAATATTTGTTTTCTTTTTCAATCACACATTGCTGTGCATTTAAAAACTAGACAAATATGTTTATTTAGAACCATCCTCTACAAAACACCAAATTAATACCTTAACGGAATCAATTTGGTCTAATACAAATTGGGCTGCATTTAAATTTATCAATCAATTTTAATGGTCAGGTTATTAATGCTTAAGTTAGAGTAAAAATGATTAACTTTTAAAAAATTATTGCCTTGCTTTTATAATCATCTACATATATTTTCCATTATTGCACATTATTACTTAGGACAACTAGATATTGGAGAGAATGCTGTATAAATGCTGTAACCACATTTATATATGTTTTTATAGAATATGAATATTTGCTTATATTCTTTTATATGTTATCTGATCATTTCACACTGGGGCCACCTAGAAACTTTCTGGTTTAACGTTTATGGTGAGTGCTTGAAGATGTTATTTACCAGTACTGGTATGACTTACATTGGAATTTATTGAATCACCAGCTTGATTTGTCTTATGTCAACTAGTTTGTTTCTGTGGCAGCCAAAGCGAGAAGAATGTTAAGAGTAAAGGTGGCTCTTTTGATTTAGATGATCCATTCTCGTTGGTTCATCTATTTGTTTTTTCTGTTTTATATTAATTTATTTAATAAGTAGTTATTAAATACCTACTACTCTTAACCTTTTTAGGTGATAAAAAGTGCATATGGTATTGTCTAAGCCTCGAAGGAGCTTGTATGGTAATAGAGAGGATTCGAGAAGAGTATTGGGTATGTCTCATGTCCCTTCTTGTATTCCCTCTGTGCTAGCTGCCTCCTGGGTCTTGAGCGGCTTAGACCAGTTGCTTACTTTGGCTCTCTCTTGGCTGTCACCACATGTCCAGAATTACTGGCTTTCTTTCACTACTTCTAGGCTTGGATGAAATATTATACTGCAGGACACCAAATCTGGCTTCCTAAGTGGCTTTCTGAAGGGTCTGGAAATATTTTCTAATGAAATATTTTGGTTTAGAAATGGATGGTTTTAGAAAAATTAGTAGGAAGAATAGATGAATCAGAAATCATGAGAAGTATGTCTTTTAGAAAAACGTATCATATGTATTTTTAAGCACAAATATAGCAAAAACATGCACTTAACTCTCATTGTTTGTGGTATGTATGTTCTATAAAGTGACCATGAACAATGAATTAGTGACTACTGAACCATTGCTTCTAACAAATACATAGGGTTACGTTCTTTCAAGCCATACATCATTTGCATTATATTTCATTTGCCAATGCCCTTGTAAAATGAGCCAGTCTTATCAGTGCTGAAAAACTGCTCTTCCACATAACCCTTTTCCTGTATAACAATTAGCAGATATTCAAAAATTCTTCCAAAGATACTTGATATGCAGAAATCGTCTCACCTGCAAGTTCAATATTTTCCACACTGTATCACCTTTTGAAATGTTCAAACCAGTTATCATAAATTTCTTTTGCTTTCACCCTCACAATGTTTTTTAAAAATCAATTCTCAGCTCATAAATTCATAAATTTTGCCAATTTTCCATCTTTTCCATAGCTTCACAACATGCTATACATTACACTTTATCACTTTCTGAAGCAGTCACATGTGCCTAAAAAGGCTCATCTGACACACCTATTTTCTCTGTAAGAGGCACATCACAGCCTTCTTGTGCTTAAGAATACTGGACAGCACTTTAGCATCACACTTGGGGTCATATTAAACGGTGAAATCACCAACAAAAAGCACAAAAATGTGAAAAGCACGGTACTAAATATACCACGGAAAGGATGTTTGCTTATACTATGAGAGGTGAAATCAGAAGGCAGAGCATGGCCTTGTTTGATCTAAGCTGAGAAATCAAATTTGTTAAGGAGCTTGGGTTTTACTTATAGACAGTGCCTTGAAGAGTGAATTAGAATGGTGTCGATGTGGCCAAACTAATGTTTTAGAAAGATCACTGTGTAACATACAGAGAATGCATTGAAGGGATTTGGAGGATAGAGGGCAGATCAACATTTGAAGCATTTAATTTATTCGGAAAACCTTTGCTGGTAACACAACATGGAAAGTATGGTGGTAGCATAAAATAGAGAGAGATAAATTTTCAGTTTTATATAGAGAGAAGGTAGTTACTAGGACTTGGTTGATTACTGTTTTTTGTTTATTTGTTTTCTTTTCTTTTTGTGAGAATGAGAGGAATAAAGAATTAGTCCTTAATTTCAAACTTGGAAATATGAGTTGGATGGACTGTCTTCTAAGACTAGGAATTTGTCAAGAGAGCAGTTTTATACATACTGAGGTTCAGATGCCAATAAATTAGCCCTCCGGAAATTTTTAGTAGATATTTGTCTATATAGGTGTGAAGCTCAAGAGATACATCCTGGCTGGAGATATGAAACAGTAGAATATTTGTGTATTGCTTGTGTTTAAGCTATGGAAGTGGGTGAGATTACCTAAGAAGAGTGTAAATGATGAGAAGAGATAGATGCAAGGAGAGAACTCAGTGAACATGATCATTTAAGAAATACATAGAGACTGAGAAGCATTGTAAAGTAATGAGGAGGCCAGAAGAGAGTAATAGAATAAAAGCAACAGGAGGAGAGAATTTCAGGAAGTAGAGAGTGGTCCACATATCAAATATCTCAGAGATAATATAAGGCCTAAAAAGAGTTAATAGGATTGGTAATTTAGGAGGAAAGAGATGAGTTGCCTAGAGTAACTTTAGCGCTTTGGTGAGAATAGCCATCAGAAGATCATATGACACTTGAGGAAGTGGACATAAAATAAAGAAAAAAAGGATTTAAAGATTAAAAAAAAGGACGTTTAAAGATTTAAGGATAGAACCAGTAGAGAGGGAAAGTAGGCCAAGGGACTAGGGCAGATGTAGCAGAGAGACAAGGAAGCAGATCCCTTAGAGGACTTGATTATGCAGTAAGACACTAGGAGTTTAGGGTTGATAGGGAGGAAAGTGGATCTATGAAAAAAATGGCTGTGGAGGGTGACTCAAATAGAAGAGCGGGTCAAGAAAAGAGGATCTTCATGGGGGCTACTGGTTAATAAAAATAGTATAATTTTAATTTTATTCTTTTGCTGATAATTTCCTGTTGACACACTTAGTATTTCCATTTCACATAGCAGTTCAATTCTAAAATACAACACATTTTAATCCCATCTTTTTAAGAATTAAAGTTTGAGAGTTGGCTATCAAGAACTTATAATGCAAAAGTATTATAAATAAAATTTAAATATACAATTTAGGAAATATATGTGATTGTTAGTATTATCTATTTCTATTCAAATTAAGTTTCAGTAAGACTGAGTTCTCATGAAATTAATTCATATCCTATTAATTCCTGTATAATACTCACACTATTATTTTATTTATATATATTTTTACTTTTAAAAGCGTTTTTAGAAAGTCTCCGTTGTTGCTGAGTGGTTCATTTATTTTTATAATTCCTTGATCTTCCTTTTAATAAGCATTTATAAAAATCATTAGTATTGCTTGCTTTAAATTCTGCTATGTGCCCCCACACAATCTAATACATTAAGATTTAACATTTTTCTTAGCAGAGTTAAATAGATTTCCAACCTTCTATTCTATGTCAAAGGAAGGTATAGCAACGTGGTAGAAGTGCCCTAGAGAGCCACTGAAGTTAGCTTAGAAATAATTAGTATAATGTGACAAATATTTAAATGTGTAGTATTTTTTCTTGAAAAATAGTAAAGAAATATTTTTAAAATTTATTTTACTACGTATGCTACTTCTAGAGAGACCATAGGAAATTTCTCTGTATTAATAAGATTAACTATTTCCCAGTTCCCACTTAGTAGAATAAAAGGAATAACGTAGCACAAACCCATACAGAGTGTTCCACCAAGATAAGAATACAGTGATTTACACAATTCGCATTATATATTTTCCTCTGTTTTTCTAACTTAAATTCTTTTAACAGGAGGCGGTAATATGAAATAAATAGTTATCTCAATTCTTTGAACATATTAAACCCTTGTAAATAAAAATTTTGTTTAACAAACACCAATATAGAAATTATTATGTACCAGGAACTATTCTAAGTGCTTTGTAGAAATTTAGTCTTTTAATTCTTATAATTACCTTCTGAGGTAAATACTATTATTATCCTTATTCTACAAATGTGGAAACTGAAGCACAGAAATGGTAGATAACTTGCCCAAGATCATGTAGTTATTAGGTGGCAGAACCAAGATTTGAATCCAGGTAAGTTGAGTCTTAACTTTATGTTTTGCCACTTCACAGAAAAAGCACTCATCAACTTTTCTGGCCCTATAAAACATAAATATTCTTTTCAGAATTAATGACAATAACAGTAATTTTTTATGATATCTTTTAAAACAGAGTTTTTTAAAATAGATTTTTATGGAAATCAATATTGTGTTTTAAATCTTTAAGACTTCTGGTTAAAACCTGAGTTGACACGAGAGATGCTATAGTTATTTAACAAGGTCTTTGAAAAGTATTGTTAGTCAAGTGAATGATATATATTGTCTTCTATCTG